TCGACCCCCTGACAAGACACCACTCACCCCCTTTTGTCAATTCTCCTTGGCGCACCCCCACTCCCGCATTCCTACCTCAGTGCCTCGCACTCAGGAGACAAACACCCTCTACGATTTATTTATTTATTTTTGATAACCTGACCAGATATCCAATTCAGGATTGCAGTCACGAGCGCCGAGCAGGAAGTATGCAAGTAGGTGTGAACCTTTTCTCTGCAGGCCCTGTGAGGAGACCCTAGATGCCCCCCCCAATAATTCGGTACCTGGGTCCGTCTATGTGTCTGAACGTTCTCTCCAAGCTACCACAGGTAGTGTCTAATGGCCTAGACCAAGGTTCTTAACCTATGATGACAGCCGCTCAGCTACCCGAATACACCCCCGTAGCGCAGCTGTCCTGTTGACCTTATTCTTGCTGTTGTTCTTCAGTTGTTGCTTTCTTCTTGGTCTCTAAGCCCCTTCTTTTCCACTCCATCATACCTTTCTTTGTAGTCCGTTCTCCCCACCCCCGCCCGCACAACTGTCGTTACCGTGCAGTGTCACAGGGTGGACCGGTTCTGAACCCTGTGACACTGCGCTGCCACCCGGTCACAGGGTATGACGCACCCCTCATCTGCACCCACTCTCTACAAGGGTGGACCCGTTCTGAACCCTGTGACCGGGTGGCAGCGCAGTGTCACCCGGACCCAGGGTGGCAGCGCAGTGTCACCCGGACCCTGTGACACTGTGCTGCCACCCGGTCACAGGGTTCAGAACCGGTGCACCCTGTGACACTGCGCGGTAACGACACTGTTTGTCGTCCGTACTGCACAACTGTCGTTATCACAGGGTTCAGAACCGGTCCTGGGCGGCAGCGCAGTGTCACAGGGTGGCCCGGTTCTGAACCCTGTGACACTGCGCTGCCACCCAGGACCCAGGGTATGACTGACACTGCGCTGCCACCCAGAACCCAGGGTATGGCGCACCCCTAATCTGCACCCACTCTCTACAAGGACGCCCATCACCCTCCATGATGATGATGCCTTCACAGAGTGGTGCTCCTCAAGGGTTGACCAAGCCCTCTAGGCTCCTTGCCACTACCCTCCCACCTACGACCCAGAGTAACGCCTACCCCCTTATCTGCCACTGTTCCCCTCTAACATTCACCTTCTTCCATGATCATGTCCAGTAGAAGGGTGCTGCTCAAGTGGTCCTCACCCAACTACCCCCCTTATCACTACCCTGCTCCCCCCAGAGTAGGAACCCCAACCACTCCCCTTGTACTCCTGCCTGCCCAGAATAATCCCTCCCTGGTAGAGGCACGTAGAGCAGAGTTCTCTCCTGAGCCCGTATCTGGTCCTGCCCTTTAAACCACAAGTACCTTTCCCACATATCGGCCGCAGGCAGGAAAAATGGCCCCAAACAGGAAAAAGGCCGCCTATTCAATTTATCAACGGCGGCCCGATCCCGCTTGGGTAACACGGCGGCCCGATCCCGCTTGGCTTCCATGTTACCCGGCGCGTAATTGATTTTCAAGTGGGGAAATGTACTGGTTGGTTAAGATCGTCTATATTTGTGGATGATGATACCCCTCCATCAGGCAGCTCTCCCCAAACCCTTCCCAGGGTTCTATCTGTACTACGGTAGGTTGGGGGGCATGTACGTGGGGCTCATGCTGTAACCCCAGCCGAGAGTGTGCACAAGAGGATGAGGGCCGACCAGAGTCGAACCCGCAACCTCTTGGTTGCACTGCTGGAGCTTTAACCAGCTGAGCTACCACGCTTGCCCCCCGTTTTTTTTCCCCTGTGGGTAGATCAGGACTTGAGCTTTAAACCACCAGCTCACTAGAGCTTAAAGTTGAGCTCGTATCAGTATACGTGGCTTAAGCTTTTTGTTTCGGGCCTGGGCTGGTAGTGAAGGCGGAAGGCCACTATGGGAAGTCCCAGTTGGAAGTTCGCGGGCCTTGAAAGGTATAGCTTTGCCAACGTAGGCTCGTGTGAAGGGGTGTTTTAATCCCTTAGATCTTTTTTTATTTTTTATTTTTTATTTTTTTATTTTATAACTGAGCTATATATTATTCTCTCAATTCCACCTTTCACTATACTCCTAAGCCTGTACAGGGGACCCCTGCAAGCATAGCTACCTCTCACAATTAAGGGGATGCATGTTGCCCCCCACCCTAATCAGCGGTGGTCAGGGAGTAGGGTGGGGCCGCCGGTCGGGCCGGGGGGGCGCGGCTAACGCAAAGACCGAGCATTGCTGGTGGGTGGGCTGGCTAGCGGAAAGACCGAGCATTTTGCCAGTAGCTGCGCCTCCCATCTACTTCCTCCACCCCCATTGAGTAACAGCAGTGTCTATGGTCAGCATTCTCCCATGCACCACACACAATCCACACACACACACACTGTTGAAGGCTGCCGGGGTGTGCGTGTGTGTTATAGATTTTCTCCACAACAGCCCCAATTCCACCCAGATGAATAGATTCAGAATCAAAGCAGTCTTTGTCCTATTGCAGACAAGCAGTGCTTGTTTTTTGTTTTGTTTTTTTTTGTCTTTTTTTTTTTTGTTTCATGGCTTACTTCTAGGTCTTGACTTGGTGGTCTGTTGTTTCTTTCTCTGTTTTATCCTTTTCCGATGAAGGTGCGGCGGCTTGAAGGAGAAGGTATGGATGTAAAGCAAGCTGAAGCCATCACCCATGTGATTACAGAAGTTCTAAATGACAGTCTCACAAATGCGGCGAATACTTTTACAACGAAGATTGAGGCAACAAAGGTGTGTGCGTGCGTGCATGCGTGCAGGCTCATATTTTCTGTTCCTGGTCGCATTCCCTCGTATTGTGGCTCTTTCTCCTTTGCGGATTCAGCATTTCACTGTATGGCGTTCTATAGGAAAGTAGAATAACTGACTGACGTGGGGCAGCAAGTGGGACAATTGCGCATTGGAACAGAAAAGGGGCTATTAAACCATGCCAATTTCAAAGTACACATTCATGAGAAAGTACAATGCCGTCCAATTGCAAAAAGAAATGAATGAACTTGAGAGGGGAGCGAGGGAAAGAAGAAGAAGAGAAAGAAAAAAAGAAGTAAGAAGAAGAAGAAAGGAAGAAGAAGAAGATGATGTACAACAGCAAAGACCAATGATAATCCGCTTCTTCTTTGCCAATCACTCTCCTCCTTATCTCCTCCCCTCTTATTCAAACAAGAAATAATAATAATAATAATAATAATGTTGAATGGCTGAACCAGAATCGATGTCCAAATCCCTCTTCTACTGCAGGTATCACATGAGGTCCACCATAGCCATGTCCACCCTTCTTCCTTCTTCCTCCATGGCCGAGGCTATGGTGGAATACCAGGGCATTGCCCTGCTGTGCAAAGGACAACACAAAGCAGCTATAGCTGCTCTAGCTCAGGCCGCCATGCCTGACTCTGCCTCAAAGCTTTTTGGTATAGCTCTACCCCAACTGGGGCCTTCCAGATGCAGCACCCACCAAGATGATGAAGATGGCATCCACCATAGCCAGGTAAGTACCTCTGGTGCTCTCTCTCTTCCTAGTCCTCATCTTCCTAGTCTTCATCTTCCTCCTCCTCCAGCCCGTACTCCTCCACCATAGCCGCGGTGGAGAGCTGGGTACTCTGTCCTCCCCAGCAGCGCTGCTCCAGCCAGCGTTGCTCCAGCCAGCGCTCCAAGCAGTGTGTCGCCAAACTTGCACACCGAAGAATGAGAGGAGCACTTCGCTCCTCCTGGAGATATAGCGGCCTGCTTGCCTCTTGGGCGATGACTTCCTAGGCCGCGCGGCCTCCAAGCAACTGGTACCTCCTCCCTTCCAGAGGGAAACATCATTGCAGACTCTGATATTGCCCGTACAGGCCCTAGACTCAGACTGGTTGGACTGGTACCCGCCTAGAACTAGCCTACAACTACTGGGCCTCTAAAAATGCCAACTTTTGTCTTCTTCTGCTTGGCCTCGAGTACCCGGCACATCTACCTCTACTTGGTGTGGTACCGGCCTACCTGCTAGTTGAGTGTTTTCCGCTGCTCTAAGTGTCGCGGGCCTCTTTCCCCGCCACTTGAGTGTTTTCCCCGCTGCAACCCTCAATGTCACGGCCACAGGTAAGTACCGGCCCTTTGGGCCTTCTGAACGAACAAGTACCCTTGCGGGTCACAACACACACTCAAGTCGACAAGCACTCAGACAGGCATGCAGACCAGCAAGCATGCACACACACAGACTTGAAAAACTCAGCAACAAGAGGGAAACTCAGCAAGGCATACATTCCATGGGCAAAACTCCGAAATCAGCTGTGTGTCTCAGGCCGTGTTTGGCAGGTCCTAAAACCAATACCTTACTCAGCTATCGATGCCGACCCTGTGCCTACCGGTAGGTCGACCCTTGCCGAGCCTGTGGCTACCTGCAATACAAAGGGCTTCTTTTCCTTACAATTACGTGAAAAAAAAACTTTTTTTTTTTTTTTTGGACAAAAGCTCCAATCTATTCGTGGGGAGCATCACGTGCTGAGAACCGGGCTTAGCGTCCCTTTGAAATACAACTGAGAATATGTAACATGAAAATTTGAGATACCGGGGCCATTACCTGGCTTTGGCTAAGAAAAATTGGAGTTACTTAACAAGTTACTACGTCAAACTTCAGAGAAATTCAGAAAAACGACTCAACCCCCCCCATCAATCCTCTTTACCACACTCCGGCAAGACTTACTACAGCAGAGCCACCATCTCCGCTACTGCTGTGCCCTATTTCCGTCCTACGAGCTAGCCCCTTTACTAGTAGGACGCTTGTTATCCAACCATCTACTTGTCCCCCTCACCTCTTTGAGACAAAAAGCAAGACATGTGCACGATTCAGGAAAAAAACTCAGACACCCCCAGTCCATCCCCTATCCCCACTCCGGCAAGACTTACTACAGCAGAGCCACCATCTCCGCTGCTGCTGTACCCTATTCCCATCCTACCAGTAAGCCCCCTCACTGGTAGGACGCATAATATCCCACCATCTCCTCCTCCCACTCACCCCTTTTTTTGGACAATCTTTATGATTAAGCGAAATTCAGAAACGACTCAGAACCCCCCCCATCAATCCACTATACCTCACTCCGGCAAGACTGACTGCAGCAGAGACACCATCTCTGCTGCTGCTATGCCATACTCCCATCCTACCAGCTAGCCCCCTCACTGGTAGAACGCGTGGTAACCCACCATCCTCTCCCACTCACCTTGTCTTCTTTTTGAAATACCCAAGAACTCTTACCGTCGTTCCATAAGCATGAGAATAGGCCACAGAGGTCCTAAGATTATTCCAAAACCCTTGAAATCCCACCCAAACCCTTCCAACGTTCTCCAAAACTGTCGTACTCCCTGCCGATCTCTTCTAGGTCTCACACCCCCACTTTCTGCTGGGTTACAGGGCAGCGCGACTCACCCCAGCTCCGACCAACGTCGTCCCGGCAGCAACCCTTGGTTGTCCCCCACCCCAAGACTTCCCCAGATCTCTATACCAGACCTCACGCTCCTGCACCGGTCAGCGTCGTTCTGGCATCGAACAACCGCAGATCAGTGAGTATAACAGCATTGAAGCCACCTAAGAAGGGCAATGTGTTAGGGTTCCCAGAGTCCTAAAAAACATTCCTAGGACCACTAAGCACCCAACTCTTTTTGGGACATTCAAAAAACTTTAGAAAAATAAGGGCGGGGGGGGCAAGACTAAATCTGCCTACTATCCTAGATTCCCCCTTCCAACAGATGGGGCGTCAGTCCAGGCTTTCAGTCCTCGTACCAGAACTCACTTGATCTCATACCCCCTTCTGCTAGGGTAACAGGGCACCACAACCCTCCCCAGTACCGATCAACCTAGCTCTGACGGACAGGAAGTGCCTTCCTCCCTCGACAATTCCCTCAGCGGGGAGCCCCTAAACAGGTTACAGGGTCAAAACCCCAGCGCCAACTACGTCGGACGATCTGGTTATGCCTTCCACCCTCGGCATAACTTCCCAGGCCTCAAGCTCCCCCTGGGTTACAGAGCAAAGGCTCCAGCACCGGCTTGTGTCGTCCCAGCATCGTTCTTCTAACCTACTTACCCTAACAAACAACCCTTTCTGTTGAGAATCCCCTTGCTACCTTTCTTCCTTCAAATCTAGGTTCCCCCCCCTTCGGCTCACTGTGTAGCCATCGAAGACACTCCTTCCCTCAAAAAACAAAATCCTAACACACTGCTATAAGCAGCCACCCCCTTGCCTTCTC